ACTTGAGTCCAATTAACATGAACTTAGAGCTTCCTTAGGCATACAATGCATAGTGCTAAAGCAAAACAAGAACTACGAACCAGATATGTGATGCATTTGCTATTGCATAAGCACTATATATGCAAAGATTTAAAGCTAACATAATCAAAGAGTTGGTCTTATAGTTTAAAGTTTTAGTTAAATTTTTACACAATTATATTTTATTATATAATTAGAACTAAAACATAATCAAAGAGTTGGTCTTATAGTTTAAAGTGTTAGTTAAATTTTTACACAATTATATTTTATTATATAATTAGAACTAAAACTAACACTAGCATAAAGTTGGGTTCATATTACTTTTCAAGTGTTGGCAATATAGGAAATGCTCTTTCTTAGTCTTTCGAAGTTGATATGTTGTTGAAATGTGCCATATAGGAGTTTTAAACAATATATGGCAGTTTAGTTTCTACCTTATGTCCCTTCCTTTCATTTTTGTGGCATTGCCTTACAATCAATAATGAAAACCCCTTTCCATCCTCCCTTTTCTTTTCATTCTCCTTTTCTCTTGATACATCATTTGATGTAGTTGATTATCATTTTTCACATTAACCCCCTGTTTGAGCCCCATTTTTGGGGAGATAATGTATTTTGGAATAATGATTTTTGGAGAATGTGTGGTTAAAAAATAAGGAATTTTTTTGGGTTTATGTGTAAAATTAATTTATCGGAGAATGTACGGTTGAAATAGAATTTTGGAAAAAAATGAGTTTTCGAAAAAATAGAGGCCAAAAATAGGCTATATAAGTGATTCACATGCTTTTGGTAGCGTAACCCTTCTGTATGATCAGCCTTAACTTTTCTTCTATGTAAGCCTCTACGAGTGGCTTTAGCTATCATTAAGAAAATGATGAGAACCCCGCTTATGGAAAATTCTAATTGACATGATCTCGATCTATGTGTCCTTTGTTTTGATTGATACATGTTCGATGTAGGCGGTTTGGGACATGGACAGTGGCAAAGTTAATTGAAAGCAGAAACGATATTATCTTGGAAGGTCCAATCTGTAATGGCTCTCAAGTGATAGGATGCACATAGATGACATGACGAA